CTAAAAAAATGTATCAACGATATAATGTTTCATATCGTTCGGTATCGATAATTATTGACATTTTTTACAACCTTTTTAAAAAAAAGAGCAATAGAAGAAAGTTTAAATTTAAGCACTGTATTTTTAAATTAACTCAATTTATTGAGACAAACAACAAATATTTTTTTGTTTTAACAGTCAAAAACAAAATAAAAATTAAACAAATATCTAATTTCTAATGTTTTATATGCAGATTAAATAGGTTAAACTTTTGGTTAGTCTCCCGAAGCCACAGGAGGGTGCAATAAACAAAATAATGCAGCACATTAAAACATCAACGCAAGGAAGTAACTGTCTATAAAAAGAAAAACGTGCATTACGTCTAAATTAACTCATATAAATCAAACATAATTTCGTAAATTGCATAAACAATTATGAACAAAACAGCATCATGTTTTTTTATATCGTTATCGAAGAAGGTGTACCGTCGATAAATATCGATACCGTTTTATTGCCCAGGCCTATGCTGATCACGTGACACGTGGCTCTGAGGCGTTCTGCAGCACTTACGTGGAGAGAATACGGACTCAGCGTCTTGGCCTTGAGGCAGTTGTGGAAGTCCAGGTTGTAGAGGCCCTGCAAGCTTGCGCTCATCGTGAGACGGAACTGAGAGCGGGAGAGAAAGCAGACAGGAGCGGTTTGATATCCGCCACTGGTCTGAAACACCGTGTGTGTGTGTGTGTGTGTGTGTGTGTGTGTGTGTGTGTGTGTGTGTGTGTGAGAGAGTGTGTGTGTGTGTGTCTGTGTGTGTGTGCGTGAGTGTGAGTGAGTACGTGCGTGTGTGTGAGTGTGTCTGTCTGTCTGTGTGTGTGTGTGTGTGTGAGTGTGAGTGAGTGCGTGCGTGCGTGTGAGTGTGTCTGTCTGTCTGTGTGCGTATGAGTGTGTGTGTGTGTGTATGAGTGTGTGTGTGTGTGCGTGTGTGTGCACACACACACACACACGCACGCACACACTCTCACACACACGCTCTCACACACACGCTCTCACACACACGCTCTCACACACACGCTCTCACACACACGCTCTCACACACACGCTCTCACACACACGCTCTCACACACACGCTCTCACACACACGCTCTCACACACACGCTCTCACACACACGCTCTCACACACACGCTCTCACACACACGCTCTCACACACACGCTCTCACACACACGCTCTCACACATGACGGCTTACCTTCCCGGAGCCACTCTTCTCCTGCGGCAGCTTCAGAGACACGAGATGGAGCTCCAGAGTGCCATCTGCAAAATAACCAAACGAGTTCAAATGGACCAGAAACCGCGTCTCATTCTGAGAGAGAAAAAAGAGAGCCGTTCAGCATGTAATAAGTGACAAAGTGTTCATAATGTTTCCAGTTACCGTTGTACATATGTGAATTCATAAAATAACCATAATAAGACATTACAGACATTAGTGGAATAAATGACACATCTGATATGTAAAACAGATGCTTAAATAAAAGAGATAAACACTCATATAAACAAAAAAAAAATGCTATAAATCATTAAATGGGTTAAATAAATGCGATCCATTAATATAGGAATTATTTTGTGAATAATAAATCATTACATAAGTTAAGTAAACTAGATAAATTAACCATTTATCTAAAATAAATGATCACGTAAGTGAAATATATAATCTAAATTGTGCTATGTGAACCACAAGCTTAAATAAAGGAGATAAAACGTTAAACAAGTTAAATGAATGACAAATAAATAAATACATCATTTTATGAATAGCAAATCATTAGATAAGTGAAAAAAATAGATAAATTAAACATTGCCTTAAGAAAATTAATAAATTCATTCATAATTTTATGAATAATAAATCATTACATAAATGAGATAAACCATCAGCCATGTGAAACAAAAGCTTAAATAAACATGATAATTTATCAAAGAAGCTAACTGAATTAGATAAGCGGAATAAATGAGATAAAGTTGAATAATTGATTAAGGAATAACTGAATAAGTGTAATAAAAGAGAAGAAGCATAAACGAGTTGATTATGTGTAAATAAAGAGTGACAGACCTTGAGTTTGAGCTGGTGGATCCTCGCGCTGCTCTCTGACGCCGTCAGGATGAAGATCATCGCACTCTTCATCATCATCATCATCATCACTGAGCCGTCAACAATCAGTCTGTCTGCCAGAGGACTGACACTCATCTGATCTGATCGCCAGTTTGTTTCCAAACTCTTCCAGCAGCTTCACCTCCACTTCCGGGACGCGTGAGCGCATACACGTCATCAGCGTCACAGCGTCACAGCGCCGCTACTGGCGGGAGGACGCGCTCGTCACACGGGTTTAAAATTTATGTTCTATTATATGTTTTAACTACTTTTTGTATGTTGTATAAATACATATCTAGGTAACGAAGATATATTAACAAAATAATCTTTTAGAAGGGCCTCATCTTTTAATTCGGCCTTGGGCCCCCACTTCATCTTGGTTCGCCTCTGTTTGTACTGAGGTCTCCAGCAGGGGATGCTGATGTGCTGGTGCTTAACTAGCTTAACTTCCTTGGTCAACCATCTTCACCAGCTAAGCTTTGCTGGTTTGCAACCCTAACCCTATAAACCAGCTTCGACCGCTGTGCAGATTCATACAGATCTAAACGAGTCTCAGCAGGAGCCCAGCTAACAGGGAACGTTCTCACAACTTTCACTTCGTGTTCGGACAAAACGCTCTTAAAGAAATGTTAATGGAACGTTCTTATGAATATTTGATATAGGCTACATTGTCATAACGTTGAGAGAAATCGTCAAGATTCTCGGAACTTGAATGTTCTAAGAAACGTTTTTGCAGCCTTTAACTCTTTCCCCGCTGGAATTTTTAAAAACAAGTTGCCAGTCACCGCCAGCATTTTTGATCATTTTCACAAAACTTTCATGGCCCCCAGAATGTTTTGTTGTATGAAAATCTGAGCATGCAATATGTTAAAGGAAAGTACAGAGCCTCTGCTTTTAAACAAACAAAAAACTTTTATTCTAGCTTCATGCATTCTTTTTTATTAACCCTTGAATGTTGGTAAGTGATTTTGAACAAAAAGCTGAGAAAATAGCATTTTTGTCAAAGACTACATCCGAATCGGATTCAGAACGATGATCAAAACACAAGCTTCACAGTCCTAAACCATGTCCTGGGTCGGCATTTCATTCGCTGACGTTAGGCTGTTGATGTTTTGAGGATAGCGTTATTTTACACATGCATCCGCTTACATACGTGAGCGCTTGTTTCTGCTGCTTCTTCATCTGTGTGATTCAGAACTCTTTCAGGTGTGTAATAGCGCCCCCTACTGAATAACAGTGAAAACACGGCGCGACAATTCTGTCAATGGCAGGGAAAGAGTTAAATAGTGTTCTAATCATGACAAGAAAACTGTAATGTTCTTAGAATAGAATATTAAATAACGTTATATTTTTGGGTGAAGATGAAGTTAGTAAAACGCTGTAAGAGACATTTTTATAACCTTTAAATAATGTTATAATCGTGAACAGAAAACTTTTAGTGTTTTAGAAACACTTCAAAACAATGTTCCCACAATGTTTTTATAAGGTAAATTTGGGAAGACCTGAACATATTTCCGTCTCTTTCTGTCAGTGTGCAGTACAGCTCATCCTGGTGCAAAGACCTCGTCTCGCTGCTGAGGAAGGTGAGATGAACAGACCATCACGAACATACACAACTAATGCTACAGATGAAGAACCAACAGCCTAGCAACACCCTATATATATATATATATATATATATATTAAATATATATAAAAATAATAATATTTATCTAAACATTAACACAGAGGAGGAGCCAAATCTGACAGATATTTAATAGTGTTTGTGACCCATTGATCAACATCACAACACGGTGAGTTACTGTTTTATTCTCCAATTATTTACCTCACAAAACATTCAGACATTTATACAACGGTCAGATAATCATTCATCAAAATTGTTTTTACTTTCAAGATTCTTCAAGCAAAGGCAAGATTTCAGTAAGAGAAGATGGCAGTAAGTTCATGTTTCCTTAGTGTTGAATGAATGAATGAGGCATTTATTTAGTGTTGATCACACTTGTTTTTCATCATAATGTCAGTGTGATTTGATCATTATAAATGAGGATGATGATCAGTTGTGTCTCTCTGTAGATGACGGTGTTTGTCGTGGCTCTGCTCTCTGTTTTCATGGGGTTTACTGAGTCTGTTTCTGATGGATTCAAGCCAGTCGACTGCTCTGACATCTGTAACTCAGGAGAAACAGTCAGTGGAAGATCTGTTTTTGTTTAATGCCGTATATATATACTGTATATATATATATATATATATATATATACATATATGATACATAAATAAATACAAATTGATATTATATTTGACATACAATTTACTCAATGACAAGGCAGGATAAGAGAAAATATCAATTTTGCTTGAATTTTAATTAATATAAATAATTAATTTTAAAATACTTTTAAAAATTTTGTTTGCATTTTGCTTTGAGACAAATTAAATTTATATGCAACAAGTACATTTTCAGTAAACATCTAGGCTGCGTTTCCCGAAACCTTCTTAACGCTACGTCGTTATACTTTAAGCTGTACCTCATCGTTAAAATGTGTTTCCCGAAACGTTCTTAGTTAATTTTACCTTCTGCAAGTCATACTTTCGTAAGGTTGGTCTGGACCACTTTTAGCTATACCTTTTCACTGTTGACAGTTCACAGTTCTGTACATCTCAGTCTATACAAATGCAATTCTGAAGTTGTAATACACCCAGTGTTTAAATAAATAAATAAATAAATAAATAAAGATAAATAAATTATATAAAAAAAGAGAAACTGGACGGAGCAACCCCCTCAGCCCCGAAATTCAGCTGCTGGCGGCTCTCCTCTTTCTCCGATGTAGCTGTTGATTATATGTGTCCCGTGTTGTGCTTTTATTGAGTAGGTCATCCAATAACAGAAATTAGTGATTTACACCAATATGTGATACGGCTGCTGGGCAATAAACCCTGGTTGTGGAATAAATGAAGACACTATGGAAAATATATTATGATAATATAAATGACCCATTCAAAGGCCAGTGAAGGCATACTGCCAGTAGTGATATAGGCTATGTTTAGGCATGAGGTTGCGGGTTTGCGCATTCATTTCAAAATTATATAAAATATCCAGGGTTGGATTTAGTTTGCAATTTGGATTTTTTTTTAAAGATCCCATGAATCCTGATAAATGTAATTTCAACTTTTCTGAAGTGCTTCTTGCTGGAAAGCACTCTTACCAGAATGTTTTTCTGTTGGACTTGTGTAGGCCCAAAGTATTTTTATTTTATTTATTTTGTTTTGTTTTTCTCTTACTCTTCTGTTAATAAGCAGCGTCTCCTGTAGGTTTTTTCCTTGTATTTTATGTGGTGACCACTGGGAGGTGCTCTAGGCATATATTTTTCTTTCTTGGTTTTCTTCCCTGACGTGATGTATGTTGCAAAGTGAAAGTAAAAGTTTCACGCAAGTTCGTTGCGTTCTAACAGGAAAGAGTTCCGTGTCTTTATTTAAAATCAACACTTCTTTTATAAAGAACACCGCTTTCTCACATAACATAGTAAAGCAGCCTGTGGCGTGCATAGAATGAATAATCGATTATCGAGCCATCGATATCAACCAATTCAGCACCACTGCCATGGACAGCACCTGGTAACGTCGCATGTAAGACGGTATACCTTAAGCAACTTCCTAAGTTATAGTTCGGGGAACACGCCTAGAACAGGTACACCTTTAATTAAGACATACCTTTAGAGTCTTTGTAGTTATCGGGAAACGCAGCCCTACTCTTTAAAAATGTATGGTAAAATGTCCAGTTAATCTTGAATGTGCCTGTATATCCGGCTGACTGTACATTATTTCTTACTTGATGTTCATGTCTAGTGTTTGATTGAACGTTCTTCAGGTGTGTGTTTGTGTGGATGTTCATGTCCAGTGTTTGGTTGAACGTGTTCTTCATGTGTGTGTATGATCAGGGCTGGAGAACATGTATCAGCTGACACACAGCAGGAATTACATGCTGAGAGTGGATTTGGAGGACTTTGATGGAAATAAAGTTTTTGCTCTGTACTCGTCCTTCTCTGTGGATTGTGAAACTGATGCATATCAGCTGCATGTTTCAGGATTCACTGATGGAGGGGCTGGTAGTACACTCTCATTTATACTCATGAAAACATATTTCCAATGAGTTATTGTCCTAAGTGATGCTCTTCTTCTCTGCAGGCGACTCTTATCTAGTCATATTGGATACAAGTTCTCCACCTTTGACAAGGACCAAGATCAAAATAACTGTGTCAAAATGTTTCTCCAATGGTGTGTATTCATGGGGTGAAGATCCCACTCATTACGCTATTGGAAATGTTTGGTTAACATGGAAGGGTTATGCCGTCGGTATGAAATCCATAAGCATGAAGATCAAACATTTGTCATAGAAACATTGCAGTGTTTCTCAGAAATAAACAACAGAACAATCAAATCAATGTTTAAGGGTTTCATATTCTCTATTAAGTGTGTAACTGTAGTAAATGACGTAGGCCCAGTCAACACGTGAGATAATGCGATAATCACAGTGACATCACACCATTCTCATAGTGTGATACTCACAGTGTGAGTAATATGTGAGCTCATTGTGAATTCAAAATGTTGAGCAGGTTGAGAGGAGGCAGTTCAAATATCGGTCACCGAGGAGGCTTTCTATATCCTGTTTCTCAACACTATCACAGTGATATCACAGTGCTCTCACATGCTGAGCTCATGAGTGCACACTCAGCTAACAGCTTATTGTTATAAGAACCTTCTCCAAACATACAACTGACTTCCAGACACAGCCTTCGATCAAATCAACTGAAATACAAAAGACATTCAATATTTTGTGATCTCAGCAGAGGATGATTAAACAACTCCACAAACAGCATCACCAGCTTCACTCATTATTAACCAGACTGACTTTATTTCTGTCAGACATCTACAAAAGCACTTATTGAGAATTACCAGATATTTAGATGATGATGTGTTATTGTTTAATTTGACGTTACCATCAAGGTAATTAGTGTTTGCTTTAGTTGGGCTCTTGACCCTTGACTTTATAACATTATATTAGTTTGGGGGCTGCTGTAATTGTGCTTGTAAAGCACATTTGTTATGGCAAGGAATACAAAAAAAAGAGACCGCAATCAGGTGATATCGGTTCG